AAGATAGAGTAAAGGTATGTAAAATATATATATATTAATGAACAATACTAATAAAAAAAAAAAAAGAAAGGGGAGGAGGATGTAAGGAAAAAGAATAATAAAAAACAAAAACTTCTAATTTATAAAAGGCAAAGAGATAGCAAATATAGGGTAAAAAGATAAATATAATGATAAAATATTAAGCCAGAAGTTAAGAGATGAAGCTGCAGCAAAATTTAATAATGAGTGAAGTGGAGTAAAGATAAATGAAAAAGAACTAAAGAATAATGTTCAAAAATTATGCCACATATGTTTTGGCCTAAAACATTTCAAACATAGGGTAGAAAAGAAATATGTAATGAAAAATGGAGGTACAATGAATGATTAAGAAGGAATAATCTACAACGAAGGACTAGGGAGATGAGAGAATAATAACTAAATTATTAATATAGAGAGGCTAGGGAAGAAATAGAAGTGTATTGTAGAAAGAATATAATGATAGAATGTAAGATTGGAAGCTAAGAGGTAGCATTCCAAGAAAACAATACTAAGACGTTATATCTTTTATGTTTTGATATAAAACTTTTCTAATAAAAATAAGTTGAAGTAGAAAAAGAGTTCAAAATAAGATATATAATAATGGATTAAGATATATGAAATGTCTAAAAAAGAATGATAGAGGTGAGAGTATATAAAACAAAGAATAATGTATAGAGTAGGTAATTAAATTTAATGATATAAAATTAGAGAAGGAAGTTGAGAGATGGAGACTCAACAAAAATTAATGAATGGTGGATAAACATGTAACTAAATATATTAGTTTATTATATATTAAATAATTAGATAAACATGCATGTTACTCCCTTTTGATTATTGTGGTCGTTATTATTAATATTATTATTTCTTATTATTACTATTAATATTAATTTCAAAATGTGTCATAGAAAATAGATATGGAACATATTTTATTTGATTGGTATTAGGGTAATGCTACATTTACCCTCCTTTGTGACACCCTCCATTACACACACCCACTCTTCGTTACTTTGTTGTTAACACCCAAACGCACTCAACCCTTTCTTTCTCTTTCTCCTTTCCTATCTCAGGAGTTCTAGTTGATTCTCAGACATCTCTAGTTATTCCCCTGTTTTCTCAAATGGTCCATCGTTGCCATGATGGTTTCCCATTTCTCATGGGTCGCTAGACAACAAGATATTTGAGGAAGAAGATTGTTCAAGAGCAAAAGCAGAGATAGAGCAATCATCAATTGAAATAGTGGAGAGAGAAGCATCAAATTTGTAAAAATTCTAACAAAAATTTATAAAAATTTATTATCTTTTTCCTTTTTCTTTCTTCCTCTTTTTTTTTTTCTCTTTCTCTATCTAGGTTCTCTAGAACCTAGACCTGGGTTCTCTTGAAGAACCTAAATCTAGGTTCACCTACAAAAGATCACGGAGGGGGGAAGAGAAGGAATAAGAAGGGAGGAGAGGAAAAGAAGAAGAAAAGGAAAGGAGGAGGAGGGAAAAGAAGGAAGAAGGTTGAAAATCAAAGAATCAATGCTGGGTGAAGAGGAGAGACGTTTTTTGAGCTCAAGAGGCTGATGATTCTCATGATTTCTTTATATGTTTCCAGTTCATCATTTAGAGGGATTCTGATGGCTTTGATCAACAAAGATGATGGTGAACAGTAAGAAGGAGAAAGGAAAGGAGAGAGAGAAACAAAGAGCTGAGTTGGGTGCTTAACATAAAGTAACAGAGAGTAACGGATAGTAATGGATAGTAACGGAGAAGGAGTGTGTGTAACAGAGTGTGAGATAAAGGAGGGTAAGCCAATCACCATCCTTGGTATTCATGTCTATGAAGATCAATTAACCAATACAATTATACTTCAATTTTAAAAAATATATATAAAATAAAAAACGTTTTAATGTATTAACATATCATATATTGTAACATTATGTGTAACATTTTTCATATTATTGTTATTGTTTTGTATTATAATTAATTGTACATTGAGAGTTAATGATCTTACTTCTCTGCAAATAACATTGAAAAATTACATATGTTAATATCTTAAATAATTTTAAATTTAAAAAATCATATAAATTTTCATAAATTAAGCATTTAACAATGAAACATCTCCTAATAAAAAAATAGTTTATTTTATAATTAAGTTACACAATTTGTAAAATTTTCTATTTTTATAAAAAATTATAAACTTCGTTATATACTTATCTTTATTATCTTTACCATCATAAATGTAAATATAATAATCTCCACATTTAAGTTATTAGAAAATTTAATTTGCTCAAATTTGATTTATTATGAAAGATCAAAGTGTTATGCTTAAGTGGTGTTTCCTTCAATAAATTTAAAATAATATCAAATAACTATTTACAATTAATTGATTAAGAATCGTATTTTATTCAATTAAGGAAAAATGAAATTCAAATATATCATGCAATAATATCAATATGAATTACCTTTAATATTCAATATGTCACTCCATGCGAACAACATTACAACCAGCATAAAAATGAACTCTAATCCAATTATAAGCACGAAACTTAACCGACTCTAATGCCTTCTGCTGGCTGTCCACATTATCCATATAAGATACATTCTGCTTTCTCCATAACCAAATGAACCAGAACACAAAAA